CCATACAACGCTAACCTAACGCCTTCCATCCAGATCGTATTGGTATATCGGATCTCATCTTTAAAAGGATCACTAGCGCCATCGAGAGACTCGGCAGCGATGATCCTTCCAGACAAGGACATACTAATAGATCTAGATGTAGATGAATGTCGCTGAGCAGAGTCAATACCATCGAGAGCCTCGGCAGTACCAACTCCGCCTTCATCACGACCTTCACCTCGGCGATGGTTCAGCATTGTGGCTGACGATAGATGCTCCGATGACGAGACGTAATGACCTTCGTACTCCGACGGGACGTAGTCAGAGCCGGGCTCGGACGGAGGGGGCGACTGAGACGGGAGCTCCACAGGCGATGCATAAGGCGGCAAGACCATGGGCGAAGGCGGGTCATCGGGGAAGCATGCTTGGTCTGGAGATGCTTGAGCTAGCGGGAGGGCTTCTTGAGACTCGGTTTCTTGAGAACCAAGAATGGTCGTTTCCTGGGATGAAGGGACGGCCGCGGCGACTTGGACGAAGTCTTGGTCCGGCGCCGTCTCCTCCATCCCGCAAATTCTCGAATGAGGCCAGAACTGAATGGGCGGGAGGGCGCGCGAGGTTAAATATAAAACCTCAACGAAGCATATAGAAACGCAATGAAGGACTCGTCCTAACAGATCACTATGCACTTTGGTAGGACTTGCGTTTAAGAATAACCATCGCAGCTTCAAGGCCCTTGTTAGCCAAAGCCGTAAAATTGACAAAATATATTTCTAATATACTCTCTACAAGATCTACCAATGAGCTCATTCATCCAGTTTTGCGAAGCAACTGTTAACCCTATCGTTAACGCCATACATTTCTATATGAAGGGACACCATACAAACTCTAAGTGTAACGCCCTAAAAGGATACTTCAAGTAACGTTCTACAGCACAAAATGGGCAAGGTTTTTGGACGAATTCTATTTGATTGTAGAGGTTATGTTCAAAAATGGGACAGAAGAGTACATCAGGTATCATTTTGCACTTTATTTTTTCCTGGACATCGATTGGCTGGTGGATCCGTCAGTCACAAGTTTCAAGTTTTCTATTGCGAAATAAATGCAATAAGGAGAGTACCGTAGCCTACATGGCCTCTTGAACTGTGTGACACACACCGCTACATCAAGGTTCGTTCTTCAATTGTCCAGTAACGCACACAGAGTCCTGAGCAGAGCTATATGTGCACGTGCAAACGATTCAGCCGCGTTAGCATCAATTACGACGCTTGCGCAGTACTGATCCACGTGCAAACCCTCGTCGAAGATCGGCGTTAGCTGGTCATGATCAAGGGCGTGATGTAAAGTACATGGAACTACTCCATAACGATCGACAAAAGCAACTACCAAAGCGCTCACCTATCACATGCCTGTCTCGATTTTGGCTTTGCTGACGCTCGTTTATCAATCTGAGAGGGCCACGTTTCCTGGCCTCACTGAAGCACGACGTGAGTAGGTAGCATCCAGGTACCTACTCATCGACCTGGGCGATAGAACTTGTGTAACTTACGCAAAAAATCTTCGAAGCTTCACAGGCAGCTGCGAAGCGATCTTCAAGGGCCAGGTCTGACTTGCTCGTGGGGTTTTCATTTTCAGTCCAGATTTCGGCGCCCTCAGTGAAGATAGATCCTTCGGAGCTTGACGACCTGGTCGTCGTTCTAATCGTTAATTCACGTATTTAGCGTCGCGAGTGACAGTGCATTGTGTGTTCAAGCAGCTACCAAC